CCTTTCACTATTTTTTACATTCCCCAAATGAATGAGACCATATAATGTTTGTCCTTCTCGGATTGACTTAGTTCACTCAGCATAATACCCTCCAGTTCCATCCACGTCGAAGCAAATGGTGGGTATTTGTCATTTCTAATGGCTGAATAATATCCCATTGTATACATAGACCACATCTTCTTTATCCATTCACCTTTCGATGGACCATTCTCTTACACCATACAGAAAGATAAACTCAAAATGAATGAAAGATCTAAATGTGAGACAAGATTCCGTCAAAATCCTAGAGAAGAACACAGGCAACACCCTTTTTGAACTTGGCCACGGTAACTTCTTGCAACATACATCCATGAAGGCAAGAGAAACAAGAGCAAAAATGAACTATTGGGATTTCATCAAGATAAGAAGCTTTTGCACAGCAAAAGAAACAGTCAACAAAACTAAAAGACAACGTACGAATGGGAGAAGATATTTGCAAATGACCTATCAGATAAAGGACTAGTATCCAAGATCTATAAAGAACTTATTAAACTCCACAGCAAAGAAACAAACAATCCAATCATGAAATGGGCAAAAGACATGAACAGATATCTCACAGAGGAAGACATAGACACGGCCAATAAGCTCATGAGAAAATGCTCTGCATCACTTGCCATCAAGGAAATACAAATCAAAACCACAATGATATACCACCTCACACCAGTGAGAATGGTGAAAATTAACAAGTCAGGAAACAACAAATGTTGGAGAGGATGTGGAGAAAGAGGAACCCTCTTGCACTGTTGGTGGGAATGTGAACTGGTGCAGCCACTCCAGAGAACTGTGTGGAGGTTCCTCAAAGAGTTAAAAATAGATCTACCCTACGACCCAGCAATTGCACTGCCGGGGATTTAACCCAAAGATACAGATATAGTGAAACACAAGAACACCTGCGCCCCAATGTTTATAGCACCAATGTCCACAATAGTCAAACTATGGAAGGAACCTCAGTGTTCATCAAAAGATGAATGGATAAAGAAGATGTGGTATATGTATATAATGGAATATTACTCAGCCATTAGAAACGACAAATACCCACCATTTGCTTTGACATGGATGGAACTGGAGGGTGTTATGCTGAGTGCAATAAGTCAATCAGAAAAGGACAAACATTATATGGTCTCATTCATTTGGGGAATATAAGAATTAGTGAAAGGGAATAAAGGGAAAGGAGAATAAATGAGTAAAAGTATCAGTGAGAGTGACAAAACATGAGAGACACCTAACTCTGGGAAACGAACAAGGGGTAGTGGAAAGGGAGGTGAGTGGGGAGGGGGTTGGGGTGACTGGGTGATGGGCACTGAGGGGGCACTTGGTGGGATGAGCACTGGGTGTTATGCTATATGTTGGCAAATTGAATTCCAACAAAAAAATTTTAAAAAAGAAAGAAAATAAAATAATAAGCTAATAAAAGTTGGGAAATACTGAAAAGTTTGGTGGACTAGCCCTTCCTCAAAAGAATGTGTTAATTAAATGTTCTAATAATTAAAAAGAGCTAAAATTGTGTCTTCCTGTGGGTCGATGCCCTTTGAAGTCCCTATTCCTATTATACCTAATAGAGACAATCCCTGCAATAATAGCTCTCACAACCAAGGCTTCTTGCTGGGATCCCTGGGTGGCGCAGCGGTTTGGTGCCTGCCTTTGGCCCAGAGCGCGATCCTGGAGACCCAGGATTGAATCCCACATCGGGCTCCCGGTGCATGGAGCCTGCTTCTCCCTCTGCCTATGTCTCTGTGCCTCTCTCTCTCTCTCTCTCTCTCTCTCTCTCTCTATCATAAATAAATAAAAATTAAAAAAAAAAGCTTCTTGCTTATCCTATTTTCCCTCTCCCAAGAACCTTCTTCCCAGTAGGCAACACAGTCCATATTTCCCCTTTTAAGGCCCATTTTCTACCTCTCACTAGAACCAAGCTAGTTATTATTTCAAACCTTCAACACATTTTCCCACAAGACAATTTTACAAACAATGGTTAGGCTCTTCATCATTATACCTCCCTATTGTGCACTGGTCTAAAAATGTAACTGTTAATAACTGTTTCCTATGAGAGAGAAAGTATGGTCAGAGTCTCAATCAATCCTCGCACTTCTGAATGATAATTCAGAGGTTAACAATTGCCCATGAAACAAGACAAGTAAAAGACTCCACAGTATGTAATAGTGCATATAATCTTTAATTTTACCAGGATTTAACACCCATAAAAACTGACAAAAATTACATTCCTTAAAATTAAAGTTAATGCATTCTCACTCATGTTTTCTTTAAGGATTCCAGCACATTCTCAAAATATATATTCTACAATGAAACCACCCTTAGTCCTAAAAACTATCATGATTGGGGCTTCAAAGCTCATCCTGAAGGGTTAACATTTCTAAAGCTAACATCAACAAATATATAATTAAAAGTCAGTCAGAGAAAGACAAATATCATATGATTGCACTCATAGGTAGAATTTTAGAAACAAAACAAATGAACACAAGAGAAAGGAAGGAAAAATAAAATAAGACAAAATCAGACAGGGAGACAAACCATAAGACTCTTAACTATAGGAAACAAATTGAGGGTTGCTGGAGGGATGGTGGGTGGGAGGATGGGGTAACTGGGTGATCAGCATTAAGGAGGGCACATAATGTGATGAGCACTGGGTGTTAGATGCAACTGATGAATCACTAAATTCTATCTCTGAAACTAATAATACACTATATGTTAATTAAATTGAATTGAAATAAAAAATTTAAAAAGAAAAAAAAAGTAAGTCAGAGGGGATCCCTGGGTGGCTCAGTAGGTTGAGCATCTGCCTCTAACTTTTAGCTCAAGTCATGATCTCAGGGTCATGAGAGTGAGCCCCATGTCAGGCTCTGCACTCAGCAGGGAATCTACTTGAGATTCTCTCCCTCTGCCCCTATCCAATTTGTGCTGAAGCTCACCTGTGCTTGCTTGCTCGCACACATGCTCGCTCTCTCGCTCTCTCGCTCTCCCCCTCTCTCAAAGAAATAAATCTTTTAAAAAAATTAAATAATGGTCTGTAAGGTAAAATTGTTTCCTTCTTATCAAAAGAATACTGTTATAAACAAACAACAAAAAAAAAACCTTTTACATACTAAACAGTTCTGTCCAGGTGTAGCATTTAGTTTTCATCTAGAATAGTTTTAACTAAGTCATTTGAAGCATTAAATCTAATGAATCATAACTATCAGATAAAGGAGGCAGAAATACTACCTTCACCACATTACCTTCACCTTTTGTTTTACTTTACAAGGTTTAACAATTTCCACTGGAATATTTTTCCAACTTGCTGAGTTAGACCCATTGTTAAATTTCTTTAATACCTAAAACATACTGCAAACAATAAAAACATCATATGTGGTAATTATGATTCAAAACATTTCTCAATTTAAATCTAACAAAAATGATAAGATAGCAGGCATGCAAAAGGCTCTCCATCCCCCACCCCATCCTTATATACAAACATTTAACTCTTTTTCTAAACCAGATACCTGGAACTGTAAGTCAACTGATTACATATGTGAATAAAATAACATTCCTCTCCCTTTGAACAGTCTTGCTAGAAAATTGTTGCAAGTATGAAACATTGGTATAGTCCAAGAAGAAATTTACCTTTCTTCATTTATTCTGTTAAGAGATGTAGAATATTAAAATGTATTTTGGAACTGCTTAGTTTACTAGTAAAATATTAACTATAGTGGATAGGGTTCAACTTTAGACTCCTTCTGAATTTATTTCTATTATACTTCTTGTTCAATCTTATCCTGGCACAGAATTTTAACCTCAATTTATTTGGAAAAGTGAAAAAGAAAAAAGAATGAATTAAACAGAGAACAGTCCAAAGTGTATTTTTAAGGATGGAGCAAGTAGTTGAAGACAAATTAGCATCTTGAGATGTGGAGAACTGTGATTGCAAATCCTACCACAAAATATCCTACTGTGAATCAATTTGGTCTTCAGTACTTTTTATGAGGTCTACTGTGGCCTCTACTGGAGTATTAAGCTGTCGATCTATTAAGTTGTCAGAAAAGGATCTGACTTTCTATCCCCAAAGTCTTGTTTTTAGAGTTTAAATGCTGCCCGTTACTACCAACAACACTAAAAATAGAGTACCTGTGCACATGTAAGTTTTCACTGCACAGCTGACCTAAGTCCAATCAGAACAGTTTCAGAAGAGCGGGAAGAGAGGAGAAGCAAAAATATTCTGGTTGAACCTCGTAGTTTTCCAAAGATTGATCTTATAAGGCCTGGGGTTTACTTTGTGTTTTCTTTTACCGACCAATGGGGCGGGGGCAGCAGTTGGGGAAAGAAAAAAGGAGGAAGATGGTGGTAGAATTGAGGAGACTACAGAACATCACATAGTAAATCGCGAAACCCAGCCGCCAATTAATCTCCAAATGGGTTCTTACAAAAACCACAACATGCCATGGAGAAATTAGAAAGTTAAGTAAGGAGTACACATCCCTACGAGCAAATGTCCCCAGAGTTATTCTGTCATCTAGGTATGTTTTTGTTGCGCTGGGTTCCTAAAAGTATCCGGGATTAAACAGCTAGCTGGAGTCAGCAGCTGTCCCTCAAAGTGACCCCAGAGAGCAAACCTGGCGCAGCAGAGAAAGAGGAATGTGCTGAGCGGGGCGCTGTATCCGGCGCGTTCCCCAGTCCCACTTCAGGTCGCAAAGTGAAGAAACTTAGTCACAACTCCAGCGTAGCCCGAGAGGCAGGAGCTCCTTCTAAGACAGAGCCCAGATCTGGGCTGCTCACTCCCCAAGCCCTAGCCCTAGCCCGTCATCTCCCGAGCGAAAGCACAGTTGAAGCAGGGCATGCTTCGCTGTCTCGCAGCCTCAACGGGGCTTGCCTGGGCACCCCGCTCCCTAGCCCCAAGACCTTCTCTCTTGGGCCTCTAGCCAGGGTCCTGAGAGGAAGGAGGATGGCTCCAGCCCTTGGCCACCATAACTAACCTTGCCGCTGGTCGCGCCGCCTCCGAAAACCTCCATTTCTTGGTTCAAAAGCTCGTCCTGAGGAGCGAACGGTAGCATCGTCCCTTCAGGAGCACTTGAGCAGGAGCTGCCAACCGCTGGCGCAACCGCGCATCCCGTCGTTTGAGCTTGCCAGCCGCCGCCACCACCAGCGAAACCCCTAGCACCTCCTTCAGCGACCGCTGCCCTAGATTCAGGGTCCCCTCAGAGGCTGTGAGCGGAGGACCGTCTCCGCAGGCAGCTGCTCCCCATAGACAAGAAAACTCTATGCTGCCTCACGGAGAGTTCCCCTCGGCTTGTGCTCACCACTGACGCCACCACGACTGTCGTTCGGCGTTGACTCTGTCGCCCACCCGGCTTCCTAGGTCCTCCTCCCCGTACCCAGCTCTGTCAATATGGCGGCAGCGGCGGCTTCACCTGTGCAGCTCCTGGACCCCACCCCCCGCCCCCCTCCCCCGCGGCGGCAGCAGCACAGTAGCGTCACTCGAACGTCAATGGAGATTCCCCAGCCCCAGGTGAAGAGGAGGTGGGAAAGAAGAGCTGGGGTGAATACCGAGGACCGCGTGGTTCGGGGTGGGTAAGAGGAGAGGAGGACGCGCTGGGCTAGGAGGCAGAAGAGTAGTAAAAGCCACTGCTAGCGCTGCAGTAAACCTGCCCACTTCATGGAGCATGCGCGTCTCTGTTCACACATGCTCAGCAGGCCCTCTCAAGTCTACGAAGGCGGCTTGCAGGCGGGAGGATTCCCAAAATGAATGTAGAAACAGGCAGATGCTCTGGAGCAGTGGAGGAGTTAGTGTCTGGGGAGGACTCCAGGAATATCTGCTTGCAGGGCTCACAAAAGCGGGTGTCCTATACACCGAACCACACCCATTTTTTTGTATAGTGATGAATAGTAGAGCGGGGATTTAGTACAGCATACATTGGGCCTCTAGAAGCAGGAGGCAGGAAGAAAATGCATTTAAAATAAATTAGTACACCGATGCTCCCAAACTCCTCCACCCCCCACCCCAGTCCCTCTCAGCACTTCCCTCTGGTTGCCCTCATAGTATTGATGGCACACAGTATTTCTAGTGTTCATACACACGTGCACATAAATATGCCACTTATTGGACCCTACTTGCGGCATTGAAGGCAGAATGTTGGAAGCTAACCTCAACCCCTACCCAGCTCTAAAGGTATTAGACCTGTAGTGAAAGTAATAATCATTTTTCTGTCTTCTTCTAATCAAACCTTTACCGGTCTGCTACTCTGAGCCACACTCTGTACTAAGAGCCAGCAATATAACACGTAAATAAACCACATGGGGATGATCAATGAGCTCCTTATTGAAACATTTCAGAACCCATCGTAAAAAAAAGTGATTCCACCTTTGACCCTTCAAAGAGACTTAAAATAGCAAAGGTAACAGCAACAAGGAGGCTCAGTACCTTGGAGAGGTTTCTAAGGATCAATATAAAACGCAAGCACCCTTTCCCCAATACTACACCCAAGGCTGCGGTGTTGCGCTTGAGGAAAACACTGAAGTATGCCCTCCATTTATTTCAGCATCTGGCGTGCAGCACTGTGGAAGTAAAAAGCAAGCCACAGAGGTTGGCATTGAATTGCAAACAAAGATCACTAATGGTGCCCTCCCACCTCCACTGCTTACAATCCCAGGGGAAAAGTGAGCTTTACAAAATATGATTCTGTAAAAGTGAAAACTTTCCAGGTAGTGGGTGCATGGAGCTATAAACAGTGAAAATGTGCACATTCACACAGTTGCATGAATTCCTGTTTGGCTGAAGTGGCAGTGTTCTTAAATAAGCCCCATCATTTTGGGCAGCTCGGGTGGCTCAGCGGTTTAGCACTGCCTTCAGCCCAGGGCCTGATCCTGGACTCCCTGAATCGAGCATGGGCATGGAGCCTGCTTCTCCCTCTACCTGTGTCTCTGCCTCTCTCTCTCTCTCTCTCTCTCTCTCTCTCTCTCTCTCTGTGTGTGTGTGTGTGTGTGTCTCATGAATAAACAAATAAAATCTTTAAAACATATATTTAAAAAAAAAAGACCCATCATTTTGAGCATTGGATCTCATCCCTTCTTGCTACTCAGAAGCTTTGTTTTCTGCAATTCTCCATCACCACTCCCCTTAGCATCATGGGATTTTTTTTCCTCTACTGGACTTTTCCCATCAGCAAAAATGCATAGTTACTGACCTTGACTTGCTGAGCCTTGCTGAGCCACTCATTAGCGTTTGATGCAGTTCAGGACTCCTTTTTCTCTTTCTTTCTTTCTTTCTTTCTTTCTTTCTTTCTTTCTTTCTTTCTTCTTTCTTTCTTTCTTTCCTTCCTTCTTTTTTTATGATTCCCTCTTTATTTAAACATTTTTTTGTTTGGCCTCCAGAACAAAACTGTTTGTTCATTTTCCTCCTACAACACTGGCCATTTCTTCTGAGTTCCCTTTGCAGGACAATCCCTCATTTTCCCAGTTTCTAAAAGTAGAAACTTCAGTGTTATATTCTCCACCCTTATGTTTCCCAACATCCTAGGTATTTCCATAGCACATCCAGTTCCATGGCTTTAAATCTCATCTGTATGCTGAGACCTTTCAAAGTTTATCTCCAGCCTCAAACTCTTTCTCGAAGTCAAGACTTGTATACACAACTGCCTATTTTACTTAAATACCTAATAGGTATCTCAAACTTAATCTACTCAAAACCAAAGTCTTGATTCAACCTCAACCAAGGTTCTCCTTGTCTGGACTTATCCAGGCAATTAATAACCTCCACCATCCACATAGTTTACTGTTCAAATGTCCCTTCAGAGTGTTTCTATGACTGTCCTTTCTAAAACACCATCACCATAACTCTAACTTCGCCCTGTTTTTTTCTTCATAACAACAATAAACATATGGTCTATATTTGTTTATTTATTTCCCTGAGCACTTAGCATAATGCTTGGAACATAATGAGGCTCAGTAAAAAAAATGAGGCTCAGTAAATATTTGCTGAATGAATTAACATGTCCTTTGCTAATATTGTTTTAATGCATTTGGTAAATACACCACATCAACTATATTAAGAAGCTTCTTCACTATGAATGCATTTCTTTTTTTCTCTGAATTTTTATTTAAACTCCAGTTAGTTAACATACAACGTAATATTAGTTTCAACTGTAGAATATAGTGATTCGAATTTACATACAACACCCAGTGGTCATCACAAACGTCCTGTTTAATACCCATCACCTACTTAACACATCCCCTCCTCTAGTAACCTTCCATTTTGTTCTCTAGAGCTAAGAATCTGTTTCTTGGTTTGTCTTTTTCCCCCCATGTTCATGTGTTTTGTTTCTAAAATTCTACATATGAGTGAAATCATATGGTATCTGTCTTTCTCTGACTGACTTATTTCATTTAGCATAATATTTTCTAGTTCCATCCATGTTCTAGCAAATAGCAAGATTTCATTATTTTATGGCTAATTAATATCCCACTCTGTATTAAATTTCGCCTTCATAAATGTTCATTCATTCAACATTCCTCTTAGCTTATAAACATGCATACATCTCTTTCATTTAAATAAATCAAAATCCCTTCCTCAACTCAAGGATTTTAATAAATCCCTGTTTCTCAGTTCTTTCAGTTAAGTCCCTCTACATCTATCTCAAATATTTTTTTTAAAATATCTGCTCCCTCCTGCATTATCATTGTCTCTGTTCACCTCATAGAATATGTTCTTGGACTAGTTATACTAATGATTCCTCTTAACCTGTCTTTCTGACTCCAAATGTATACTCTTTCTCCAATCCATCCTCCTCACAGGCAGCCCAGGAATCAAAATTCCTCAGTGATAATTCATCATTGCTAGTAAAACATCCACACTTATTAGCTCTTAATGTGAATGTTCTCACCAACTGGCCTCTATCTTTCCAGTTTCATCTACCATCTCAAATTCCAGTCAGATCTATGCACATGTTATTGTATCTTCCCTATCTAGTCTTTCTAAACAACTTATTTTTAATAGCAGTCAATACTGACAACTATAATTTACTGAGAGCCTACTATGCTCCAAGCATATACTCTTCATGAATTCATTTAGCCCTCATAACAATTTTTAAAAGTTCATATAGGGACACAGAACATAAAGACTTCTAACTCTGGGAAATGAACTAGGGGTGGTGGAAGGGGAGGAGGGCGGGGGGTGGGGGTGAATGGGTGACGGGCACGGAGGGGGACACTTGACGGGATGAGCACTGGGTGTTATACTGTATGTTGGTAAATTGAACACCAATAAAAATTAATTTATAAAAAAAAATAAATAAAAGTTCATATTATATAGATAATTTTACAGATGAGGAAACTGAGCCTGAGAAAGGTTCAGTGATTTTACCAATACCTTAGAGATATTAAATGGAAATTCTAGAATTAAAACTACATCTGTTGAAAAAAAAAACTACATCTGCTGGATGCCAAGCTTTCTACCCCACCCTGTTGTTCTGTGAAAGCCCTCTGATATTACCCTCCCTCTCCATACCCTAATTCCACTCATCCATAGGAAAAGTTAGTTACCCATTCTTCTTTACTTCCATAAAACTTTTTGCCATATCCTTATTTCAACATTGCTTTAATTTTCTTTAGTAACAAACTTTGAGATTTTGGTGTTAGTTAATTTACCTATTATTAAGATCTGCATTCACAGCACATGTCTGGTGCTCAATATGTTGGATGGGCAAACAGTATTTCCCTACTCTAGCCAGAAACAGTTGAGGCTGTGGGCTAATATAACAATGTATAACAGTACTTAACCCTGCATAGTTTCTTTTTTCTTTTTTTTAAGATTTTATCTATCCATTCACAAGAGACACAGAGAGAGAAGCAGAGACACAGGCAGAGGAAGAAGCAGGCTCTATGCAGGGAGCCCGAAGCGAGACCCGATCCCGAGTCTCCAGGATCACGCCCTGGGCGGAAGGCAGCACCAAACCGCCGAGCCACCCGGGCTGTCCTTAACCCTGCATAGTTTAATGCTTATTTGCTCTGTTTTGATTCCCTTTATCAAAGACATATTGTCTGATTTTAAGTTACTAGTAACCAAGACCTATTATATACAATTTCAACTAGCTCAGAGGTCCTTAGATTCTTGGTGAAAAACATGATGACTTTATTTAAGCACAAAAGCAGTTATTAAGGAAGTCTCAAGCTTCAGTCTTCTGAAAAGTATACATAGCACATAGCAGATATTCTTGCTTTCTCTTTAGTCTTCAGGAAATTTTTAGCCTGAAATTTTCTGTATGCCCATGTATGTCTAATTATTGGAGCATAATATTAGAAGTTTACACAATAGAGGCGCCTGGGTGGCTCAGTGGTTGAGCATCTTCCTTCAGCGCAGGTGGTGATCCTGGGGTCCTGGGATCAGGTCCTACATCAG